TTTAAATGGGAAAGTGAGTAAGAAAACTATAGCATTAACTTTATCACGTCGAGTTTACTACACTAAACTAACCAGTTCCATGTTTACACTCTTGCAGAATGTAAGAAATCAAACACAACTAATACAGAGCTGTCCTTTCCATTTTATTCAAGCCCCAACATGCAAGGTCCTTTCTCACAGACTTGAAATACACATTTATTAGGTAATCACAATTTCATAGGTAAGTCACACATTTTAAGAATTATTAAAACATTTTATTCAAAAGTTCAAAAACAAATGATATTTAAATCACCTCTCAAAGGACAAAATATACTTAGATCTAAAGTCCTAATTATCTACCCGGTAAAAACTACCAATTCCACCAGGCTCGACAATTTATACACGTAATGAAAACAGCAAACACCCCCTTTCCGGTTAAGGATTTCAAAGACATCTCATCAGGATCGTCCAATATTAAACTTTTAATTAAAGAAGATGTATCTATTATAAATGAACTCCCAACTTTATATAATAAAACAGCTTCACTATAATTGAATAACTTGTATAATATTGCTACAATTATTTCATTATCCTATTATTTATTATTTATCTTTTAATTCACTTCATCCTTTTATACTGTATTTTAATTACTCTTCGTAAAATGGTTGGACTTTGGACATTTTTGTACCTAACGTTGTACTCTGTTCAATTAGCTTGCTGAAGATTGAAGGTTTATATTCCGAAACGTTCGAGAATTAAAAGTTTGTTACTGAACACACACGTGTCGAATGTTCTTTTGTTGCTGCCATTGCTCTACTGTTCATCATTGAAATTGGATTACCCTCGATTGATTAAAGTAAGAAAAATTTCTTGCACACATCAATTACAATTATCGTCAAAGAAAACTTCAGCTACTCACTTTGAATTTCCAAAGTCTCGGATCTTATAACTGTATTTCACTTTCTATCCATACTAATATCAGTGTTTATTGTGATACAGGATACTTTTGTTCAAATTTTCACACGTGTGCATAGCTATATAAATTTGACCTTATGTTTAATTTTTTGATGGACGATTTCAGAACTGTTGCAAGAGCTTCCTTCCAATGCAACTCGAACAAAAGAAGGAGATATTTATCACTTTGACATCATTCAAGAGTAAACTCTTAGGAGTCAGAGGCTATTTGGAAAGTGGTTCAATCCAACACAGTATTATATTTAAAGTAGAAATCATACTTTAGTCTTCAGTAGTTGGCTCTGTCGTTGGGATATTTCGTTAAACTTTTATGATTCTGCATTTTAGGAGGCAGTTTGTAATGTATGAGTAGTTACTTAGTTTAATTATGAAATAGAACTCAAATGAATATATAAGCAGCTATATTGTTATTTTGGTCTTTACGTAGAATAGACATATAGATTAGCTTTACGCATTTTAAATATATTTTAGCTCAAACTTCTTACAGTAAATGGGACAATTGTTTACGCAGTTATTTCTGGATTTATCATTTATATTTAAATCTATATTTATAATTAATCTATCGTTATTTTTTATGTTCGTTTCATTACGTTTTTTTAAGAGATAACTGAACTTCCAAGTATTTTTTCTCCATCTATTGAGAGATAACTGAACCTCCAAGTATTCGATTCGACTATTTGCGTTGGATGCCCTCCCCCTGCATGCTACTGTCTCAATATGACAATCTTAGTGGTTCATTTTATATAAATTCTGTCAAAATATTTTATATATTCAATTACATTGACTTCCTTTGTAAGTAACGACAAGTTATGCTAACCATGATCGTTAAAAAAGAATAATTTCATTTATGAACTTTAAATATGTTTCTAAGGTGTGACAAATTTTGTATGTCATATAAGGATATCTTACAGAATAATGGAGGCATACACAGAACAGCACCCATTTGCATTGTTTTAATAAAAACAGATCTCAACAGTATCTTGGGTTTAGAAAGTAGCAAAGTGTGGATTTAACTACTTAAGTACCAGCCAGTGAGATTTTAGCATTTCCAAACATCTGAACGAATTGTATCTCAGGATGCAAGAATCAATTAGGCACTTGTATACACTGCAGAGCCCCAGTCTCTCTCCTTGTTTTATACATAACACAAAGATTCGCATTAGTGTGTCGAAACTTCGTCACCATCTAATCCTTTTAATAGCAGGCTATCTGTATATGGAAAATTTTTGTCAGTGTGCTGAATTGACCCTGTAAGTTTTTGTTTTCTAAGATTGAATCAAAACCAATGCCAGGTAACTGAATCTTGTTCATGTCTAGTGTTTATGCTATCTTCTAGGTCTGTATTCAAATGGTATGTATTTAGATCAATTGGGAAGCTACAATTTCTAGTTTATGTATAAGATTTAATGTTCTTGTTTGGTATATGTTGTCAATGATTTTACAGCTATTACAGTCGGTTCGATGTCCGGTAACAGCAGCATATTTAGCAATAACTAAAGTGTTTGTGTTTGTAAAGTGAACCATGTTTTTTAAATGTCTCCAATACATTTTATTCCAAAGCTGCATGAAGTTTCACACGCAACACCTTTAGCTATCAGAAGATCCACGAGTTGTTTACCAGGGAAACTTGCGTTGATACATATTCTTCCACAAGATTCCATTTAATAGTTTTCTGGATGTTCTGCAGACTAGATTAATAATGCTGTTAGGGTATCCAGTGTCTTGATGTCAACATTTGTATACTGTTTAACAAATGTTATGTTATGAATTCAAATTCGATGCCAAGGAACCCACTTTGAGGCTAATAATGCTTGTAGATGGCTTGAATGGGTAATGAAAAAAAAGTTTAACATAACAACAAATGTAGAACGTTTCGACAAGGTTTTGTCATCATCAGGTACAACATTGTACATTTGTTATTATGTTAAACTTATATTAAAGTTTTTCTTCATTATCCATTCAAGCCGTCTCCAAGCATTAAATGTTACATTACTTGCTCAAACTACCATTTAGTTGTACCCAACATAAATTACACCAAATTCATGTGAAGTTGTTACCCTTATGGTATTACTTTAAATAAATTGGAATGCTTGAAAACGGTACTGCAATTATAAAACATTTTTTACAAAAACCTGACATTTTCATCATAGTAGCACCAAATGTGACCAACTACTTACTAGTATGAAGATTATTCAAAATTTAAACCCAGAGTAATAAATCTCTTACACAAAAGTATGAAGTTGATCAATGGGATAGAAAAATTAAACAATGAAAAAAAAAAAACTTGATGAATTACAATAAACAACTTACTTAACCACATCAAATACGCACACCTTCTCTGAACATCCCTTAATCATTCTTTTTCCCCCTCTCATCATTGTGAAATATACTAATTATAATTCTTTCTTTACTGTTCTCCATTCAGGTGACAGTAAATGTTAGCTTTAGCATTATATGTATTCTTCACTTCCACTTGGAACTCGATTGTGCAGTTTTAACATGCTAATGTCAAGTCATTAATTTGACAGCATTTTGTGCCTTTTCAGCTATTTGATGATAAAACTTTAAAACATAACGCAATTTTTACACAGTAACCACTTTAATTCACACTTAATATGACTTAAACCAATAAACATGTGTTTAAAAGTATCATAATTTCTCTGTCACCCCCTAGAAGCCTCTTCTTTTAAGTACGGTGGAAGATGATTAGCTGCACAGCGAAAACCAAGATTTCCAGATGATGTATCAGGTGTGTTCTGACTTCGAGCAGCACAACGATAGCGGTAACAGTAGCTCTGAAAGACAGAACAACATGTGTATAATGATTACAATACTTCAGTATTATTAGAACTCATACAACTGAAAATATGTATTTCATTAATCAAACCATAGACAGAAATGGTGATAAGTACAAGTAATAATAACTGAACTATTATGCTGGCATGAAGTAGAGGCAAATTTAGAAAATTTTCAAAATAACATATACTTAGGGAGGAAATAAAAAAGGAATAACTGATGTGATTGAATTTGTATTAAAAAAATTAAACTGTTTGTAGTCTATTTGGATGAAACTCCTACTTTCTTACACCATCATTAGGCTTCAAAAATAACCACATCAGAAACACGTTTTATTAAGTTAAATACAACAAAACTAATCCTTTTTCTTATGTACAAAAAAAAAAATCAAATAGAACAACCTAGCATAAAAATAATTTAATTAATTATTGAATATGTTTGTTTCTGATACTTAAGTACAGTCACATAAGATAACAATACCAGCCATCCCCTGACTTTGAACTGATAGACCAGAGAAAAGACAGCTAGTCAACAGCACCCACCACCAGCCCTTGGTCTACTCTATAGTCAGACTTGAAAGACATTCTTAACCTCCCCCCTAAAAAAAATGTGGAGTACAGAGCATGAACTTCAAATAACAGGAAGTGAACCATGAACCCCCAGTTTCACAATACAGTAAACTAACAAGTAGTCCGTGCCTCGCTCATACTTTATAATGTAAAACATTAAAATGTCAGAGCTAGATTGTGAAATAGTTCGATATAGAATCAAACAGAAGGGAAACTTATTGCAAGATTCAGTCTTTTATAAGGTATTATCATTTAAAAGTAATAATCTTTAAACATATTAATTTAGTAAATTAGTTTATTATATGACTTATACAATAAACTAGAAATGTAAGAATATAATTTTAGAGATAGGACCAGTATCTGACTGAATAATTTCTCTTGTTCAGTTGTCAGTGATGTTATATAAAATCATTGTTAATCAATAATTTTTACATCACATTATAATGCCCCCACAGCTGAAAGGGCGTGCATGTTTGGTGTGACAGGGATTTGAACCATGACCCTCAGATTGCGTGTCGAGCGCCCTGACCACCTGGCCCAAGAATAATGTCAGTTATTTAAACACAAGATTAATTATTTTCCAACTTTAGAATTTGCTTGTTTTTAAAATTAACAACAAAATATACAGGTAGGAATGAATGTAATAACTTTCTGCATCTTGCAGTTCTCACCCGAACATTTGGTGTTATATCATATTTTCTATGTAAGCTTCAAAGCAATAATAAGTCTGTTATCATTAAGTAAGCATAGTTGTAGTAATAATAATAATTTAATAATAATTGTTCCAGAAAGGAGAAATAAACTATACTTTGTAACTTTATAATAATCTACAGTATAATTGTTCACGACATGACGTTAAATTAACAATAAGCTAAACATTTGGTTTGGAGATACCAATCTAATGATTGAAACTAATTAACTGGAGAAAACTTACTTTGTGACACATATAAGACCCTCCTTTTTTGACTTTATCTTGACCTGTTTTTGGACCCTTCTGTAATAAGATGTTATTAAACATTTGTTATGGTGCATACACATCTTAAAAGCTGGCAAAGAATAATTATTGTTATACTTATCATGAGACATTAGTGTTAGGCCTATTACATGTTTAAACACAACATTTTTATCTAGTTCTGGATTGAACAAAACATGTAGTCTGAAATGGATATGACAAATATAGTGTGGTTGGAATACTATTACTATACATTCTTCTAATTCTTGAAAATCACTAAGGGACTAGGTAAAAAAATGCAGCATTTAAAAACGTAATAGGCCTAACTCTAATGCCTTATGACAAGTATAATTGTTATATAACATTGTTATAATGCAGCTTTATCCGTAGTTAGTAATAAAAATAAACCACACACAACTATCTATTAACTCCATATACATTATACAAGAATACATAACAATTTTACATTATGTACGATAGAAAAAGAGGCTGCATTTTTGGAAAAAACAGTATGATATTGCCAAATATTTTATTCCCTCATGTAAGAAGATGTTAAAGTGACAATAAAAACAAATTTTGATTAGATTGAGGGTTACACTGATAATCTTTGCATAAATTATATCTTCTTGCATTTCATAATCCAGTAGTTATACAAAGTATTTAATACTATAATACAACAATAATAATTTTTTGTTATTACTTCATGTCATCAGGCTTCTAAATTATGCCCAATTTCGTAAGCATATCTAAGCCTTATTTTAGAAATTACATTTTTGTTTTGCCAGCCTTTCAGCAATATTCTGTTTTGATTTCCTAGTCACAGGGTGAAGCAAAACAATTTCAGGTTTAAAAAGCTTGGTTTTAAACAAATGTAATAAGTTTTATTTATACGATGATGTTTTCAAGCACATATTTAATTTTTGGAAGAGATATAGGTAACAAAATTTATATTATTCAGAAATATTCCAAAAATTAAACAATCCTTCCTCACCCACCCCCCTCAAAAATCACTAAAAGGACTAAAACTTAAGTGAAAGACAGTTAATGAACGTGTATTGTTTCTCTCACAGAGACTAACTGTAGAAACTCGCATACAAGTATTCAAGTATGCGTGTGTTTTCAGGTGGGGGGGGGGCAAGTATTCACGAAGTTTACAGAGTAATTTGCTCCCTTTCTTGCCAATAATTTATTAAAATTTTACATCATCATCATCAGCAGGTATTTTCAATTTTACCTTTGGGGAAACAAAATCTGTAACACACATATGTAGATATAATCATTAAACAGTTGGTCCATTGTATAATATAGAATAATAATTAGACGCAATGCCACAATATTATTCACACACCTGAATTAATTTACAATACTATATTGGGAGTCAAAAAGGACTCCAAAACCCCATAAATCTTATTTCAACATATGTTTTTTATGTCTTTGGAAGCTAAAAAATTTGTTTTATGTAGGACAGTGTGCATGTTTAATTTAAACTTATTCCTTTTCAATAATACTTTCATTTTGTATTACAATGTTTCTTACATATTTGACAAGTCCTAACTGACAAATCATCCTGCAGATACCTACGTTTGTTCACATAACATATTAAAACTGCATTGAAGGACTAGTTGAGAGCTTCTTGCCAAACAGATCCAGTTATTGAATATTTTCTGAATTCAAATAAAATCATTTAGATACTTAAGATAAAATAAAGAGATAGTTTAAATGTTTACTGGATTTTCTGCTGGCTCAGGTGAATGATAGACTGTCCACCAGTCTTGTGTCCACTCCCAAACATTGCCAAGCATATTCTTCAGACCAAACTTGTTGGCAGGAAAATTCGTAACCTGTTCCAGGAGTGAGAGAGAATAAAAATAGATACAGAACATACCAAACTTGTTGGCAGGAAAATTTGTTAACTGTTCCAGGAGAGAGAGAGAGAATAAAAAAAGAGGTAATACAGAATAACTTGATGTTGCACTTCAAATATAATATTAAATAAAGGCTTAAATGAGCATAATGAAATTAGTAAATTTTCAAGATCACACACACAACTAGTCATTTAGGCCAAGGAACAAAATATTGTTGAAAAATTAATTCACTGCATTTACAGTTGAAATTGTAACCAAGAACTAATCAACAACATGCATATCTGAAATAATTACACCCAACATATAAAAAAAAAAAAAGGTACTGTGCAAAATTTTTATTCTTCCCACTCATTCATTATACCTGCCATTGAAAAATAGTCCACTTTGTTTTTAAAAGAAACTCACTGGAGCTGTTCCTAAGAATCCATCATCGGCAGTGTTGTTAATCGGAAATTCTCCTTGCCAGATGTTCATGTAATGTTCATCGAAAGGCATCACTTTGTTTCCCCAGGAAAACAGTCTGTTGATGAGAATAACTTTTATTATAACAGATGAGATTCTTCTTCTGTGATTACTTTTTTTTTTATATATAGTAACCTCGTGATCTAGTGTAGCGACAGGAAGTTTCCTGTGAATTCTTTAGAAGGTGTTTGTTTATTTACATGAAATATTACGTTGTCACGTTTCTACCCACAGTAGCATGGCATACGTTACAGTTTTATATCGACATCTACATTTTTAAGAAAGAGATATCTATATATCAAAGTCATTCCAAGTTTATTAGTGAAGAAAATTTATGAATCTTGTAAACTGTTCATTATTTCATAATGATAGTCAAAAAATATTATGTCTATTCCAGTACCTTGCCTAGCTAAGGTTCTTGCTCACATAATGCCCGGTAAAGAAAAATAACAAAATGAAAACAAAACCATCACATCTCCAGTGTCATATCAGAAAAATGAATAAACGAAGATAAAAATAAAGTATTAAAAGAAAGCTAATGCTTTGGATCGATAGCTACAGCCTTCTCCGAACATGTTCGGAATAAATTTGTTTATTGTAATAAAAAAGGATAATTGGAAAGTAGGAGGACAAATAAAAATTAGCTTTGTAGAAAAAAAAAATCTTATTAACAAACCTATCTTTGAGTCCACTTCGACAAGCCATCTCCCACTCAGCTTCTGTAGGTAATCTCTTCCTTGCCCAGTGGCAATAAGCAGTAGCATCATTCCAAGACACGTGTATAACTGGGTGATCCATTCTGTTCCAAATACATGTTTGTACTTGTTTTTTAATTTTTTATCATAAAATATACAGCAACGTCATTTTTCTATAAAATGTAATTACAAAATTCTACAAGTGCTAAAAAACTTTACTTAAAAGTAATATCTAACAGTTTTTCACAGAAATAAATATATTTTATACTATCCCCCCCCCCCTGAGAGTATATAACACTATAAATTGGGT